AGAGGAGACATTTAGATAGCAGAGGGGAAAACAGATGAAGTTTCTGGTTTGGGAGAAAAGCCCCAGCGAGGACTGGAGCTCGGAGAGCTGCCCTGGAAGGTGCTCTGCTGTGGGGACGACCTGTGTTGTGAGAATCATGTGACCACTGGGCAAAAGGATGATAGCTGGTGCTGCTGGCCCAGAAATGCCCTGGGAACATTTTGGTGTTGTCAGCATGAACAAAAGAGGAAAGAAATGGGATACCCAAAGACAGGGAGAGAATCCCAAAAGAACTTGAAGTGGAAATTCGAAAATTGGGGAGCAAGGGTGGAGAGGGACAGGATAAAAATGGCAGCAGAAGGGGAATTCAGGGCAACCAGACCCCCGCTGGCTCTCAACATTGGGGTGAAACCCCACCTGCATCATGGCCATGGGGGGACAGCATTGGCTTCAGGAAAGAGGAAGAGGGGGTTCCCAGGCTGAGGGAAGGGGTGGAGGTCCTTGTAGAACCAAGACTGTGGCTGATTGCAGAAAGTGACCCGCTTGGTGCCTAAAGGGCTGGATGGAGATTCTCTTCCCAGTGAGCAGGAAAGAGGACTGTATAGAAATAACTGAGTGGGGAGGAGAGGAGGTGGAGTGAGTAAAGGGGGTGGGGTTTCTAGCTTCAGCAGGGAGCCTACAGAGAGGAAGTCTGAGCCAACGAGGCCTGAAGGAGGCCAGAGAGCCAGCCCAGGAGGCAAAGTTCCAAACTGATTTGTCTGTTGGCTTCTGTTCAAGAGGGAGAAAAGTAAACATGAGCTCAGACGGTTTTCCTTCAGGCTGTTGATACACTGAGAAAGGAAGTGGGATCTGAGGGAGAAGTTGGGCCTGAGATCAGAGGGGGAGCGGCATTTGGCAGGAAGCTGGACTTGAAAATGGCCCATTGTGACAAGGTCCGAACTAGCCAGCATGCAACCTGGAAGGCTGACTACTAATCACAGTAACAGCCCAAGGAGCACGGACTTGATAATAGTTTCTAATCCCAACAACATCTCTTTAGAGGTGAAAGCGCTGACACTGAGTTAGGGCCACGCGGCTGCTGAGATCCAGCTGGAGGAGTTCGGGCCTACAGACGCTGGAGCCACCCTCTCCCCGACACATGGTGCCGCCAGCAGTTATACATCCCGGCAGGCTGGGTCAGACAGTGACAAAATTCATCCACCAGACGAAATACACTGTGATCGATCAAGTGT